GCTGAGCATGGTGGTGGACATCTGTAATTCCAGCTAACTGGGAGGCTGAGGCAGGAAAATTGCTTGAACCCAGGAGGCGGAGGTTGCAGTGAGCCAAGATCACATCATTGTACCACCGCCTGGGCAACAGGAGTGAAACACCTTCTCAAAATAAATAAATAAATAAAAATAAAAATAAAGAAATCTCTCCTTTCCAAATTTATTAACCTCATCATTCTTCAGTTGACAGTGTTACAAAGTTCAAAAGGACTTCCATACTCTCCCACAGAAGTCCTAGAAATTGTCATTTTGTTAATTATTTTAGATGTCTGAGAACTTGTAATCTAATGAGTATAAATGTTGAAATTGTGCTTTATCAGCTATGTGTCTCTTAATCCAAGCAAGCCTATGTCTAAAATTAACCATGAGACTATGTATGCCTGATTTATGGCTAAAATTTTAGGATGAAAGCTATGAGATCTCTATTTGTGTTTTATGCCTATTAATGTGTGTTATGTATATGTGATATTTTCTTAACTCCAGATAGCAAAGCAAAATTCATTTATAAAATCCTCTAAAAGTGCTCTATTATAACTTAGCTTGGAAAAAAATAAGCATTTATAAATAAATATTCCTTAAACTTCTAGCAATGTAGGAACTGATTCAAATGCTTTTCAAGTTAACAAAATTTAGATAAAACATAGTTAAATAAGATCAATTTAATATTTTTGGCGTAATAAAACAACTATGTCTTCAGAGCTATCACTGTTGAATATAAAACAAACATAAATTTCTATTCTTGAGTTGTAGTCAAATAAGCTAATATTATACTTACTAGATACTTAAAATCTTAAATCTTATAGATTTGATTCTCATTAAGTTGTTATTCTTATTAAAAACATTATTTCAATAATAATTTTTCACAGCAAATCTGCCTAATAATAGTTTCCAAAATACTTTTGGTATTTTTTAACCTTAAAGTTAAGCTAACTAAAAGATTTCCATTAAATATCTAGATTATTTATAAATAATATACAATACTAAAACATTAATTATTGAACGTAACTAATTCAACTTTATATGCTTTTGGCCCCTATTTTTACAGAGAGAATAAAGATATTTTGGCCTGTTAATAAACATTTTTTTTGTCTACCACACTGAGAAATTGTACTCAGTTACAGAGCAGGGAGGCCTCAGAAAGCAAGAGGAGGAACGCACCTGTTTAAAGAAAAAAAATTTGTTTTGAGATGGAGTTTTACTCTTGTCACAACGACATGATCTCGGCTCACTACAACCTCTGCTTCCTGTGTTTAAGGATTCACCTGCCTCAACCTCCCAAGTAGCTGGGATTACAGGTGTGCACCACCATGTCCAGCTAATTTTTTTGTATTTCTTTTCCATTTTAATTTATTTTAATTTTTTTATTTAATTTTTAAAAATTCAGTCCCTGTAGAGACTTCCAAAAATTGCCAATGCCGACTATATTGCCAGTCGTCATGGTGGGGTATTGGGAAAAGTTTTCAATTAGCAATGGTCACGCCTTGGATAAATGTTATTGGCTATGATACTGTCACCGTGCAAAGCTATGTTTTTGTATTTTTAGGAGAGACTGGGTTTCACGAGGTTGGCCATGCTGGTGTCCAACTCCTGGCCTCAAGTGATCCACCCTCCTCGGCCTCCGAAAGTGCTGGGATTTCAGGTGTG